ACACACACACACACACACACACACACACACACACACTGTCTCTCTATCCTTGTGGGGACTTTCCATTGACTTCCATTCATTTTTTTAGGCTTTACATCCTAACCCTGATCGTTTACCCTAAAATTAACCTCACAGGTACCTGACCCTAAAACCAATCTAAACTCACACCTTGGTCCTAACCGGGCTTTGGTCCCCACAAGGAGCATTCAGTCCCAACGAGGCTGCATTTTCCTGAAAAATCATCCCCACCAAGTAGCAAAAACAAAGACACACACACCAGTCTTAAAGTGTAACTAACCCCCACTGTGAAAGTAAAACCCCGCTCCCAAGCCAAGTTAGTGATTTGTGAAACCTTGTAGCACAATTTAGACAGTTTATCTGCAAAAAAAAATTGATTTTGTGTTTTCTTTTTAAGTTCAGTTTATACATCCATCCAGAATGTGACGCTTTAATAAACCTGTTCATGTTCCTGACAGACTAAGCTAGCCGCAGAGGCACAAGCTAAGTATGAGCGTGAGTTGATGCTTCACGCWGCTGATGTGGAGGCTCTGCAGCAGCTAAAGAAAACATCCCAGCAAGACGCAGCTCGCAAGAGGGAGTTGGAGGAAGAACTGAAAAAGACTACTGCTCTTCTGCAAGAGAAAACCACAACCTGGAACACGATTGAGAAACAGCTGAAGGTATCGAGGCCAGACGATTCTTTACGAGACGTTTTTTCCACATGAATCAGAATAACGAGCTTGACTTTTACCTGTCCTCAGGAGGAACGGTCCAATCTGAGTCGTCGCTGCGAGGAGCTAGGGAGGCAGAATGCTCTCCTRCACCAACAGATGGATGAAATGGCCACCAGGAGTCACCAGCTGCAGCAGCAGCCGCACCAGAATCTGGACCTGTCATTCAGCGAGGAGGGAAAGAGCRTGGAACAGATACTGGAAATACTCAGGTGAAGCATCTGTAACACCAGGGTTCACTGAGTGTCTGCAGTAATACAGCAGCTGGGACAAAACATTTAGTTTGATCAAATATAAAATTACAAATGAGATAAATAAAACAACAGTTTGATCAAACATTTGAACTTCCTGGCTGGTGTTTTGATGTAGGTTTGTACGGCGAGAGAAGGAGATTTCTGAAGCTCATTATGAAGCATCTAAAGGAGAAGCTCTACGCTACAAACAGCGAGTCGAGCACCAAGACAGAGAACTGAAGGAGCTACAGGAAGCACTAAACGCTGAGAGGGAAAGGATGCAAGTATGAGACCAAAAAACAAAGACCAAGAGTTTTAGCTTGCTTAAAGCAGAGTGCTTATCAAATAAAATTGGTCTATTTTGGTTCCGTCTTTGTCAGGTGACAGCGAAAACTTTGGCTGAGCAGCAAGAACAGTTGAAGAGGTTGGAGATGATAAGTTCTCTACAAGAAACCAACAGGATGCTGAAGGTGGACAGAGATAAACTGGAACAGGAGCTTCAGCAGGCTCAGGCTAAAGTAAAGTCAAGGCATTGCTTCATAATCTGTCATGCTTTCATCAAATTTCTCTCATACTCCAACCTTCATCTTCATAGATGATCATTTGAACAGACTGGTGCTTTGCATGTCTTAAGTGTGAACATCCTGCTTCTCTCTGTCTTCAAGGTGACGAAGCTCCAGACAGACATCGGCCCGCTGCACAACTCTCTGTCTATACTGTCAGAGAAAAATGGCTCCCTGCAGGCCGATAAGAGGCTRCTGGAAGAAGACCTCAAACGACTAAAGGCCAGAATACAAGTATGTATAAGAATCAGCATTAGTCATTATTTGATAAACATTTACTTCAGCTGTAAAACAAAACTAAAAATAATGTAGGCTGTTTAGTTTTTATAAATTAAAAAAATATATTGTCACATGGATGGTGCTATTTTATAAACACAGCAAAGCATAGTGGGTAAAGGATGACATTTACTAGGCGTTCCTGAGCTAAGCGCTTATCTATCCTGAAGGTTAATCTTGGACAATACCTAGTGATCAGCATTTAAATGAAACCAGAGAGCGTTGACAGAGAGGAGATGGTAGAAATGATTCTGCCTGAAACTGAAAATATGGATGGAGGACAACAGAACTGCTTAATGGAAGAAGAACCTCAGTTTAGGCTGTTAGCTTTCATGTTAGCGCTCGAGCTAAATGGCAAAATAGTGTTAGCTATGCATGAACTATCCCCACATACTTATTAGTAATGTATCTATATGACGTTATGATGCGTTCCAGTTGTCCTGGGAAGTGGTAATTTCCCCGTTCCCATTGGTAGATTTAAACTGGAACACCCCCTCCTGTGGTAATATTCCACTCGCATAGTGGAAGAAACGAAACTGCCCCCAGTTTCAATTTCAAGATGGCGGCTACAGGCAGCTTTAGAAAGTTAATTCCGTAACTTTTACTGTTAATTATCTTAATTTTTTTGTGCATGTTTAATCACTCGCACRAGTAGTGCATTTTCTGTGCATACTGTACAAATTAAAATCAATGTTTATTTGCATGACTTACATAGTAGAGCTCTCTTTTTGTCTTTGTTTATATTGTAGCAGTGTTTTAGCTAGGTTAGCGGCAGCAACACAATCGCCTGTCGGCTAACTGGAATGCAGTTTCATATGGTTTGTTGGGAAATTAAGTCACTACCATTTACCAGTTCTGGGAATACAGTTTAAATGGAATGCAGCATTAGCTCCCAAACTAACTTCCTTAGCGCAGGAACTAACGCTATAGTGGGGATCATCAATTCTGGTCCTCGAGATCCTCAGCTCTGCATGTTTTACTTGTTTCTCTGCTCCAACACACCTGATTTTGAATGAATGGGTGATGATCAGGCTTCTGCAGAACTTGGAAGAGGTAGTTCACTGAATGAAACAGTTAGAGAAGGGAAAAAAAGTAAAACATGCGGCCCTCGAGGACCGGAMTTGATGATCCCTGCACTATATCGTCATATGTGTTAGCTAGAGAAATAGTTGAATTAGAAAGCACCTCGCWGTATAGATAAATAATGTTCTGCAATAACTGAAATCACTCATATGATATGAATATTATAAAGCATTTTTTGGCTCTTCTGTGTTGTATATTTCATTTTTATTTTTATTTTTTATTTTTTTGTCTTAAAGTGACATTTCTTTATGTGTTTAACACAGTGTTTTCATTACAATTTGAGTTTGGCTAAATTTTTGTTTGTGTCCACAGCAACTTGTTAGCCAGCAGAAAGACGGTGATGTTGAGGAAAAACAGAAACTCACAGCAGAAAAAGAGGTTAATCTAAAGCGCATAGTACAGCTAAGTGAAGAATCAGCCAAGCTGAAGACTGAGCTGATCAGGTAAAACACTTTCTCTCACACACACACACACACACACACACACACACACACACACACA